AAATTACTTTTGGCAAAATTCAGGAAATTTTACTATAAACTGAGTTTTAGATTTATAAGTGAATTATTAATGTTATTAGATGTTGCTTGTGTTATGTTATAAAAAAAAAGAAGTTCTTAGAGGTAAATACTGAAATATTTACACATTAACTTTCATGATTTCTGTAATTTACCTTAAAATATTTCAGCAAAACAGTCAACATTAAGCATCTAAAGTAACAACTGTGAAATCTAGGGAATGAGTGCATAGTTGTGCTCTGTACTACTCTCTTCACTTTTCTGCAAAACAATCAATATTAAGCATCTAAAGTAAAATGTTAACAACTGTGAAATCTAGGGAATGAGTACACAGTTGTGCTCTGTACTACTCTCTTCACTTTTCTGTATGTTTGGATATTTTTCAAAATAAAAAATCAAATTTTTAAAAATTTTGCATATTAAAAAATTAAATGTTTATCTTTCAGCTCTAAAGCAATTGTTCTTCACCAGTATTTAGTATTTTGTTATTTTTTTAACCTGCCCTTTGCTACATCATATTTCTTGGTGCTCTATCACAAGAACTGTCAGAGGGCACTCCCTCTGCTTACTCCCAGAGGCCACCCGGAAAAGGTGGAAGATCTGTTCCTGCTTGGAAGACCTGGGCCACAGTTGTTCGAGTCTACTTAAGTGTCATCAATCACTATCACACTACTATCAATCAAGTAAATTATTCATTGAGAACCTCTTAATGACACTATGTTCATTAGGAAGAAACTGATGCACAAAGGGCTACTGTCAACCTCAACAAATTACAACTATCCTTTCTTTGTCTTTGAAATCAAATTCTTTGACAGAAGTAACCTTATCCTAAATCTAATAAATTTCCCATTTCCCAAAAAGAACTCAACTGGAAAACTATAAAACCTGAAAATCCTCTTGTGCTTTCTTCTCTTTTGCTTCCAGTTGCTACCCCAAAAGGATCAGCTGAAGGTAATCAATTGGACAGAACAACCTAAGAAGAAAGAGTCACACCAGCCAGGTATATGAATATTTTAGAGGTATTGGGGACTAATATATTTTAATGTAAACTAAGCAGCTTTCAAGTAATATATATATATATATATATATATATATATACACATTAAGTAATAGCAGTTGTTATGCTAATATTCTTTTCTCTTCTTGTGAGCTGTTAAACTACATCATAGCAGGCTCAACTCCTGTGTTTATTTGAAGAAAATGTTATCTGTGAGGAATACTGTTTAATCTTGACAACAAAAGAAGACAATCTGATAGTATGTTAGTAACCTGATAAATTAATAAGAATTTCTTTCTCCAAATGGACAAGACATTTTTCTTCTTGATATACTAGTACTATTCTCGTAACCACTACTGAGACTTTACCATGGACTGCACATTGTCCTCAGTACAATTTGGAATTTATATTATTCCAGTGGATCCTCATGGCAATCTTAACATGTAAAACTTTAACTCACTCAAAATCACACCGTAAATAGCAGGGCTGGGATTTAAAGCAAGTGTGATTGACTCTAATACCAGTTTGATAAACCACAAGGCTGTATTATAAAGTGTATCTAATTTACTTGCCCTAATACATACTCTTGCTACATAATAAGCTTTATTTTGTTTTCTGAAATCAAACTGACATGTATATATTGTATACATGATTAAATAAGAAAAATAAAAGGCCATGTCTTTCCTTTATTCTCCCCTCCTACAATACATAGCCAAAAAGTAAAATTATATTTTGGAAGTAGTTATTTTTAAAAATTTTTATTAAATCTGTACTATATGCTAAGCATACTTATATAAAAATGAATAAAACATGATTCCTGTTCTTTAGAAATTTAGAAAAAAAGGCATCAAAAGGCAAGATCTTCAGTAGAATGAAGTTTCAGAACAAGCCTGTTTGACAGGTTTTTTGTCCTAAGTAACAGCCTCAGAACATAGAAACAAGAAGCATCTGTCTTATTTAAAAGAATGTCATGAAAAAATAATAATAAAAGAATATTGTAAAACATTTACAAAACCATTGATGTTTAGTAAATATCAGGTAGTTTGTATAGTGGTTCACCTAACAGGAAACTTCTACAATTACAATAGAAATAAGAATAAAATAATTTCCTTTCTTATTGCTAAACTTCCTAAGATCTTGCCCTTTCTAGGCAATCTTTAGTATCAGTAGAAAATGTTCATTCAAGTTAATTACAATAAGACTTTCTTGACTTTGTTATACTGCTTTCTCCAAAAAAATGTATATTAGCTTGAATTATGCCTCACTGCTATGGAGTAGACATATATAAACCATTTTCAGAAACAATTTCTCTCTTTTAAACTGTACTTTCTAACAAAAATTAGTCATTTACCAAAATGTGCCCCGGTGCCACAATAATTTAACTAACAGTGATCCATTCTTCTGCTTTTCCTAGGAGCCAATAGGAAACGATGAAAACTCTGCCACTGCTAGTGTGCATCTGTGCACTCAGCGCTTGCTTCACAGTAAGTGTCCACCCAAACAACCTTTATTCTTGTGTATCAGTAACAAGCATCTAGCATCTATACTTGAGATTTCAAAAGTACAACGTGCAATTTTCTATTTCCAAGAAGCTTGATATCTTTTGTTTTCTGTGGCACATGAGACAAACCAAAAGGAAATTATTTGTTTCACTTAATTGATATTGATGTAGCACCAACTTTATCATGGGTGTGATGAGATCAGATGGAGATGCAGAAAACAGATCCTGTAGGGCCTCATTAGTGTAAAACATGGAGTCTCAGTATATGAGAAACCCTCCGGATGATGAGAGTGTCATGACTTTGGGTGTGAAGAGAAAATGAATTGTAGGAGACAAAAGTTGAGGTAAAGCCCAGTCAAGAAACTATAGCAGTGTCCCACATAAGAGAAAATGGTGACTTGCACTAAATGTCAGCAATTAAAACAAACCATTTGGTGATTACATCTACCATAACTCCTGCTGCAGTTGGTGTATCGTAAAAGAAAGAAATGAACAAAAGAGCTACGTTTCAGACATGTCACATGTGAAATGACTATTAGACTTCTACAAGGAGACGTTAAGAGGCAATCAGAAATATACTGTCTGGAGTTCAGAAAGAAGTCAAGGGGTAACATCTGTATTTAGAACATATAGGAAAACATGGGACCTTATGAGATCACCCAAAGAGATTGGATATGGATAGAGGAAATGGAGGAACTACAAAAAGGGAACAGGAAAGCATGGTTTCAAAAACAAAGAGATTACAAAATGGACTCTATCTTTAAGATATTTAGGGTTGGTTTAGAAAAGAAGATTAAAATTAATAATGATTCAAGATGATACATAGAGGAATAAGTAAGCATATTTGCCTCTAAGGCTATATGTATTTGTTCACTTTTATTTTTGACAAATTTGAAAGAAGGGTCAAGAAGTAGATTGTAGATTTGTTGCATGAAGCTGAATAGCCTCAGAATATCATGACTAAAAAAGTAGATACCTTATCGGTAGATAGAACTTATTCTTAGATACTCTCATATTTCCCCACTCACCATATAATATCGCCTCACAAAAAAAATCTTGGGTTTTTCCCTGGACCCTCGTGCTAATTTCTGTGATTCTAGGAAAGAG